AATCAAAAATTTCAAAACTTCACAGAATGACTTAGAATATCTGTGGCCACCCACTTTGCGTAAAATTTAAATATTTTGAGGTGCCCAAAAAAATTTAAAAATAAAAAATTTCAAAACTTCACAGAATGGCTTAGAATACCTGTGGCCACCCACTTTGCGTAAAATTTAAATTTTTTGAGGTGCAAAAAAAAAACCAAAAAATTTAAAACTTCACAGAATGACTTAGAATACTTGTGGCCACCCATTTTAAGTGAAATTTAAATTTTTTAGGTGCCAAAAAAATAAAAAAATAAAAAAAATTAAATTTCACTCAAAGTGGGTGGCCACAGGTATTCTAAGCCATTCTGTGAAGTTTTGAAATTTTTTATTTTTTGATTTTTTTTGGGCACTTCAAAAAATTTAAATTTCACTCAAAGTGGGTGGCCACAGGTATTCTAAGCCATTCTGTGAAGTTTTGAAATTTTTGATTTTTTTTGGAAAAAATGAACAAATTTCCTATTTTTCTGAAATCTGACTTTTTTTTATTTTCTGGAAAATTTTATGGATTTTCTGAATTTTTTTTTTAGATTTTTAGGAATTTTCCAAATTTTCTAATTTTTTTATTCTATTTCTAAAAGAAATGAAGCGATTATCCGCCGCCCGCCGTCCACTCGCCGGTCACATGAGAAGGAGAAATTTTGTGCCGTTATCAAATAAATTTCTGTTTCTGAAATAGAAATTTTGTGTCGTTATCAAACATGTTTTTTAGCTTAGAAACTCCTCCAGAAACAGAAATAGAAAAATCAATTTCTGGCCAGAAATTGATTTCTGAAACAGAATGGTTATCATTCGCAGCCTAAAGGAAACAGTGAATGCATTGTTGAATAGTTCCGGTTTACCACAGAATTTGTGGGGGGAAGCTGTTTTGACGGCGAATTTTATTTTGAATAGAGTACCCCACAGAAAGACATAGCCAACTCCCTATGAGAAGTGAAAAGGCAGAACGCCTAATTTGAAATATCTCAAAGTGTGGGGGTGCTTAGCTAAGGTTGCGATTCCTAAACCTAAAAAGGTTCAAATAGGACCGAAAACCGTTGATTGTGTCTTTATTGGATATGCTATTAATAGTAATGCATATTGATTTCTTGTTCATAAGTCTGAGGTCCCCGATATACATGTTAATACGATCATTGAGTCAAGGGACGCTTCGTTCTTTGAAAATATATTTTCGTATAACATAGTATATGAGCCAATTAACAATGATAAGAGGCCTCGAGATACTACACCTAAAAGCAATCCTATAGAGGATGAACCTAGACGTAGTAAAAGACAAAGAACTTCTAAGTCCTTTGGAAATGATTTTCTAACATATTTGTTAGAGAATGAGCCTCGGACCTTTAAAGAGGCTGTGACATCTCTAAAAGCCCCGTTCTGGAAAAAAGCTATCAATAGTGAAGTTGAATCCATCTTGTCAAACTATACATGGGAATTGGTTGATCTTCCTCCTGGTAATAAACCACTACAATGTAAGTGGATTTTTAAGAGGAAAATAAAAGTGGATGGTATTATTGATAAGTATAAAGCTAGGCTTGTGGTAAAAGGATACAAGCAATGAGAAGGCCTTGATTATTTTGACACTTATTCACCTGTTACTAGAATTACATCTATAAGGATGCTAATTGCCATAGCAGCGGTGTATAGGCTTGAAATCCATCAAATGGATGTTAAAACGGCTTTCTTAAACGGGGATTTGGAAGAAGAAATATATTTGGAACAACCCGAAGGGTTCATTGTTCCAGGACAAGAGAAGAAAGTATATCGGCTTATCAAGTCACTCTATGGATTGAAACAAGCACCAAAACAATGGCATGCTAAATTCGACCAAATCATGTTGTCGAATGGTCTTAAGATTAATGAGTGTGATAAATGTGTATATGTTAAGAACACTCATAATGTTTTTGCTATTTTGTACTTGTATGTAGATGACATGCTTATAATGGGTAGCGATAGTGAGGTTGTCAATACGACCAAACGAATGCTCACAAGTAAATTTGATATGAAAGATATGGGGGTTGCAGATGTTATTTTAGGAATTAAAATCCATAAGACATATGGAGGATTGGTTCTATCACAGTCCCATTATATTGAGACGATTATTGAAAAGTGCAAGAATCTAGACATTGTACCAGTAAAAACTCCGATAGATGTTAATTTACATCTTTTAAAGAATACTGGTGAAAGCAAAGCTCAAAATGAGTATGCTAGTATACTAGACAGTCTAATGTATGTTATGAACTTTACTAGGCCAGACATAGCTTATGCTGTGAGCAAGCTAAGTCGATTTACAATTAGTCTAAATGAAAATCATTGGAAAGCTATGAAACGTGTATTGGGCTATTTAAAGCACACTCAAAATTATGCTTTGCACTACACAGAATATCCACCGGTACTTGAAGGATATTGTGATGCAAATTGGATAACCGGCACAAGAGACACAAAATCCACAAGTGGGTATGTGTTTATACTTGGTGGGGGAGCAGTGTCTTGGAAGTCATCCAAACAAACTTGTATTGCAAGGTCTACTATGGAAGCAGAATTCATTGCTTTGGATAAGGCCGGTGAAGAAGCTGAGTGGCTTCGAAATTTCCTAGAAGACATTCCTAATTGGTCTAAACCAATGCCAGCTGTATGTATTCATTGTGATAGTCAAGCAGCACTAGGCAGGGCAAGGAATGTCATGTATAACGGAAAGTCCCGACATATACGTCGAATACACGATACTGTAAGACAACTACTCTCTAGTGGAATTATCACGATTGACTGTGTGAAGTCAAAAGATAATGTTGCGGATCCATTAACAAAAGGCCTAACTAGAGAGTTGGTTGTAAAAACATCAAGGGGAATGGGTTTAAGGCTTATAAAATAAGTCATCATAGCGGAAGCCCTACCTAGTTGACTGGAGATCCCAAGATCTAGATTCAAAGGGACAATCAAGTTATGCAGGCACAGTAGTGTATTGTCAACTCTTACTCATTCCTGTATGGAGACAGTACTAACATGTGGAGGTTAAGTGTAAGCTTTTAATGATTTTGATTCGGGTATGTAATATACCACACAATCAGAAATCACTTATGTGAGTGTGAAGTGAGGGCCGCTTCTATGAAGAATTTGAAAGGCCAAATTCTTCAAAGCACTCATGAAACCAGGTGGTGTTCATGGCCAAAACGAACACAATAGTGAGAACCAACTTTGTTTGAGAGATAATTGTGTGATTTCTATTGTCTTGACTTACACCGAAGGTCGACAGTTCAAAGACATCAAGTCTACTGATTGACTGAGTAAGTTCGATAGGTCTCACTAGGGAAAGTTCAAAGCCTCAGACTACTTATCCCATTGCAACGTTCTCTCATGGAATAATCGCACATTGCATCTCATGCATACACGAAGAGTCATGATGTCTGAACTTCTCATTCATGTGGGGGATTGTTGGGATTTTAGTATCCAAAATCCATAAATTGTGAATGAGAAGTGTGGATTGAAATAGTCCCACATTGGATATAAGTTGTGATGGGAGATGGTTTATTTAGATGAGCCTCTCAAATGGGTTTGGGCCCCAAAGGGTACCCCACTTTTGTGGAAGGGAGAGGACCTATGCCAAGCTAGGTCGGCTCCCCCCCCCCCCGCGCGAGCCCCGCCGCCGCCGCCCGTCCGTCCGACTCGGCTCCGCTTCGGTTCAAGTGAGTCTTCTCGACTGTTCACGAACCGAACAGAAACCGCAAGCGAGTCTTCATTGCTCGCGACTCTTCATTTTCGCCATTTATATAACCGAACTGTTTAGTTCGGTCTGGTGACTCTTTGTGGCATTTTTATTCCCGAGAGACTTTTTTCCCGACGCACTCTAGACATTTTTCATTTTTTTTTTTGTTTCTTTATCATTGTCATTTGTGCGATTATTTTGCGAAGTTGCGTTCGAATATTTCCTTTAAAGAAGTACCGCTTCTTTGGAAAGGCGATCCGTTCTATCCTAAGAGACAATTGTTCAACAACCTTGGGTACCGGTAGAGGGGACAAATTGTCTTAAGGACACAACGTGAATTCGTTGGGCTCGGATCATTCGTCGACATTCGGATTACTCGTCAGAACGTGATTTCAGGTTTGTCGAACAACTTTGTTTTTCATATACAAGCACTATTACGTTCAACAGTTGTTCTACTAGAACACTTGCACCTTCTTCCGTAGCTTCGTATCCTTTCTGGACGATGCCTCATAAGTCTTGGGCCATCAAGAATGTGATCATTTTGATGCTCCAGCAATCATAATTATTCCCATCGAAAATAGGAATGAGAATTGAGGATGTTGTAAAGTTGGCCATAGGTTAGTTGTTGAATATTTGGATGGGTAGTTTTAGGAACGGGTGATTAGGACAAATGCTCAATACCAACAAAAGACGTGGCTCCGATGCCACTGTCAGATTGTTGAAGCTAAGTGGTTGATGTGAGTGCGTGTTACTTGTGAGGATGGAAGAGAAAGAGAGAGAGAGAGAGAGCAAAAATAATGGCAATGGGGCAGTAAAGAAATAAATGGCGCAAGATGGGAAACTTCGTGTCTCTTCAGCTTCCACTCCATGAATCAACACAACTACAACCTATTTATAGGCCTTCTTTGACCGGCATTCTTTCTCAATTATCTCTGGCCGTGGCATGCTGGCCATTCATTGGCCACTAATTCTACCTACTACTAATTAGTCTAAATTAACAATTTTCACCTACCTCTTCATGTGTTTTTTTACCACACATTCTAATACGTACAAGACATGCTAGAGTTATGTGGACTGATCTAGAAAATTCAGGAAATGGATCAATATATTAACAAGAGACAACTGATAAGAGCTATGAAATCAAGCAAAACCGGGATAACGATTGTTCAAGAAGTGGAGAAAGCTAGACTGTCTAATCTATTTCTGGAAGCTGATGTCCAAATATGCGAGGAAAATATCTGTCGACTAGTAGAAAAAACAATACCTTCAGAGCAAGTTTCTTCAGCTTGTTCGACGCTCTAAATTGCCTGAGCCTCCGCAAAACAACATTGTCAATAGGTTTATCAAATGCCACTCCATCTTCCCGGAGCCAAGGATGTTCTGTCCAAAAATTGCGTGCGAAGAATGTCAGTGTTCTTTTAATGATTTTCAGGTATTTTTACCTAAATCAGAACCAAAGGTTTGAATCTACTGGAAAAGCTTGGCAATACGTCTTTGTGCACTACCAGGTACGCATTTTAATGAACAAAAGCGTGATTTGACCAAGAAGACGTTCCTCTCTTTTCCTGACTTGAGGTTCAGATTTTCCAATTAAACTATGGTCTAATTCATTATCCTGTTACTACATTAATGTGGACCGACTTGACAAAGAATACCGTCTCATGAACTCCCTCGGAATTGGTTGATTTTGATATGAACCCACCGAATTTCACTAGAAAAAGGAGCACTTACTAAGGGCCTCCGCGGCAGTGATCCTTTTCTTAGGATCCCTCATCAACATTTTCGTGATGAGATCCTTCGCCGAAGAGGAAATGGATGGCCACGGAGCACTTTCTAGATCTAGGTTGCCTTCCAATATTGCTTTGAATATGCCATTCTCATTCCCTGAAAGGGAGAAAAATGTTACAGATTCACAGTAAAATCAAGAGATACTAGTCCAACAAGAGTTGATCATTGCTAAATCACGATCGATGTCCAGTGGAACAAACGATGTCTGTTTTCTCAAAAACGATTTACAGGGATATGGAAAACTGTAATTGAATTCGGAAAACACCTGACAATATAGTTAATAGTGAACAATTGTAGTAAAAGCAAAGACTTACTTGCCCAGAAGGGAGGTGAACCGCAAAGAAGGATGTATAAGATGACGCCTGCACTCCAGACGTCGATTTCCTTCCCGTAGTTTCGATTCAACACCTCCGGCGCAACATAGAACGCACTTCCCACAATGTCCTCGTACACCTTCCCTGGAACGATGGCTCAAATTACTCATTGATTTACTAATTTCATTGCTGGAAGGTCAAGTCACGAGGAAAATAAGCGAGTCAGACACTCGGCAGCTAGTCCTTCGAAGGGTGTACTAGAACAAGAGCGACATTAGAATGCAAAACTCCTTCCTCTTCCCGTGTTAATGCAGTTTAGGATGTACAGATACCACACATGGTGGTACCAAACCTGAGATGGTCTGATGTAGTTACTTAACAAGCATCACCACGCGATCTATGTGCTGCAAATCTTTTTAGAACCTAAGACCTGGGCGATAACTTTTGGAAAACTTCCTAGAACACAGAACTCCACCGAGTCTGCAATTCTAGGCAACAAATCATATGATAAGACAGAAACAGAAACAGACTCTATCGTATAAAATGTACACGAATTTAATAAAGTTACTCATTAAAAATAGACAAAAGTTCCTACACATATTAAGCTAGTGAGAGAAATGGTTACAAGCAAAATTCCATTAAACTGGTATATAAAAGCATATTATTAGCAGCAGCGCTTTCCGAAGAGAGAATGAAGAGTGAGAAGCAATTCTATCCCAATAAAAAAGAGGAAGGCAGAGAGAAATTAAGCTGCAGAACTCAAGAATTAGGAAGCAGCATGAGTATTTTCGATCCAAAATAAAGATTATAATAAACATAAGATCACATCGCATGTGAAATTTCATTCATGCGATTTTTCACTTCTATATTGAATAAAAAAATGAATTTCGTGAAATAACTCCCTTAAATGCTTGTTAAGTAACTGAACAACGAAATTTAATCCCGACCAACAAATAAAATACAACAAAATTTAATTGCAGTTTCTAGTGGACCAATCTTTCTGTTGGTTCCGATGTCAGATTGATTGGTCGACAACGAACCGGTGTCAACCAGCTCCAAGTTTCATGAATGGAGAACAGAACCAATTTTCTTTGAAACCGGTCTGGAACCTAACTGACGGGTTCGGTCGGGTCCAACAAAATTCCTGATTTTTCCTAAATCGATAACTCAAATTGTGAACCGTGAATAATCATGGTACTCTCCAACACCCACCTTGTAATGGTCCCGCCGGAGCACGCTCTCCTGTCTGCACATTTGCCGAATCTTCGGGACAAGGCTATGGGGTCATAGTGCAAGTTTCACGTGCACTCGGCGAATGCAGATTCATTTTCGGTCTTTAGATCATGCGAGCTCCATGTGGAATAGTATGTCGACGAAAATGGACTCATTTAAATCAAGAATTATTCATGGGAGCCCCATTTATTTATTACTTTTTGTACCCTCTTTTCTCTTAGCTTTTCTTATTAATAATTTAATTTTTGCAATTATTAACAATGGTTGACCCCAGTTGACCTGTCCCTTTCAACCTTGACCTGCCCGTTGACCCTGACCCGAAATGTCGTCATCACTCACCAGAAAAAAAAGAAAGGAAAAATCCACATCCGAGCATCATCAGCTTCCAATTTTCACAATCCGCGATGATATGGATTCCCTCGTCATTCGCCTTTTCAGCAAAACTCTAATTCGCGATAGAACCCCGTGAAGAAAACGCAACCTCCGATGCCCTTCCAAAAGGCAAGAATATAGTCAATCACATCTCTTCGACATCATTCGCTTTTACAGCTCAAACCAGATTCCGGAAAGACTTGTTAAAATCAGAGGCTTGAAGGACACAAAAGCTTGAAGGACACAAAACCGATGAAGAAGACGACCCCACGTGTTTCGGGGAAAATAAAACAAGACAAGCTAAACATCAAGAACAGCAAGGCATTCATGGCGTCCATTCTTCTACTTTTGTAGTCCACAAGATGATGGAAAGAACAAGATAGTTGTTAGTTATGCCTTCATTGTGCTTGCCTAGTTTTTTTTAATTACGATGAAGAAAGTTTACAGGAGGGGAGTAACTAGCCTCCAGACGTGGCCGGGTGCGCATGGACTAATGGCCGGAATTGCCCCTTTGGTTCGTATTTCTAGCTAAACAAGGAATATTCTAATCCAAACAACATGCAGCAAAACAACTGAACCAACCGACCTGGTTCGATGAAAACGGAGAGGCCGAAGTCGGTGATCTTGAGAGGGGCATCGTCGCTCTTGCTGACGAGCAGGAAGTTCTCGGGCTTGAGGTCGTGGTGCATCACCCCCATGAAGTGGCACACGTGCACCACGTTCACCACCTGCCGCCCGATCCTCGCTGCCTCCCGCTCCGAGTACATCCCCTTGGCAATGATCCGGTCGAAGAGCTCACCGCCGGAGCAAAGCTCCATGACCAGGTGCAGATACTGCCGATCCTCGTACGCGCCCTTGAACTCCACGATGTTGGGCTGCCCGGACAGGTGCTCCAGCATCAGGATCTCTCGCCGGACGTCCTCAATGTCCTTCTGGGTCACCATCTTGCACCGCGAGATGGACTTGCACGCGTACTGGAGGCCGGTTGAGCGCTCGGTGCAGAGGTAGGTGACCCCGAACTGGCCGCGGCCAAGCTCGCGGTCCATCTGGTACAGAGCGTTTATGTCCGCGTAGGGCTTGCAGAGGACGGGGCTGATCTGGGAGGACGGCAGCAGAGGCGGAGGCTCGGGGCCGGTGAACGAGCGCAGAGAAGGTGGCCGTTCCGACGACGGTTGCCGTTGCCTTGGTGTTGGTTGTGGTTGCGTGTGTTTGGACTGTGGGTGGGGTTTTCTGGGCGGTTGTGAATGGTGGCGAGGGAGAGACTCCGAGGAAGAAGAAGAGATGGGAATGTCCTGGGAATTGGAGAGGCAGAGTCCCATTGTTGGCGATCAGAGAGAGAGAGATGACTGATGATGCTTTTGTTGCTGTGCCGTGTTCAAGAGATTATTATATGGAGGATGATGAAGTGAAGAGAAAGAGGGTTTTCATTATTACTATTATTATTATTATTATTATTATTATTATTTGTTTGGTGTGTTATTCTTTCTTTCGAGTACCAATTTTGTGTCAATAGGCATACGACTGATAAAGGGATTGGGGGGTGAGAATTCTAGTATTACAATTGTGGGGTTTGACTTCCGCATTCTACAAGAGGCAAATCAAGTTAGAGTTACCACATCAAAAAAAGTACCAACTTTAGCTTTACTTTATTCGCTCTTTGCATTCTCACTTGGGTAGTCCATAGTATATTTGTAAGACCCCAAACTAGAATACTTGTAACAAATTTATCTAAATCTAATTTTTTTACTACAAAAAATCTCAAATTAGTATAATTGTGACAAAGTTATCCTCCGTTAAATAGGATTAATATCACAAAAAATCACAAACTGGTAAACATGTGACAAACAGAGGGTTAAAACCCCAAACTAGTATACCTGTTAATTGTCATGTGTCATACAACTCAGTAATTTTATGATAAAATTTAACGAAAACTAATGAATGGTAAATTTATCGTAAGTGTATTAGTTTGAGATTTTTGATGATAAAAAAAGTAATTTTGGATAAATTTGTTATAAATATACTAATTTAAAGTTTTTGACGGTGTTAATCTATGACTGGGCAGGTTTCATTTCCACTCCTCCGTACGCAATGAGTTGACCTCTCCACCGTCGTTCTACGAGCTTGCCGCGTGAGAGAGAGGTTCTTGACATCTAAAAATTTCAAATTTCCTTCTATTTTGGCGAATCAAGCTATTTTAAATTAATTGATTATTTGCACATTTTTTCATTGATCTGACGCCGTTGTTTCGCCGGAAAGCGTAGAGAAAATATCTTTTGAAGTACTAATGGATGGATGGATGAATCGATAAAGATTGTGAAAGCACATTTGTTGATTTTGGCTAGAAAAGTAAATGATAAGAAATTTAAAAGTATGAGCACTATAGACAATCGCGACCAACCATTTAAATTGAGGAAAAGTAATGTTAAAAAATAAATTTACAAAGAACGTTGACTTTTGTGATTGATTGGAGTATTTATGATTGATTATGGTTTGTACAAAGAGTATAATGTGGCTATTTAAAGCTTACTATAGAAGACGGTTACAAACGATTATTAAATTTAAAAGATTACTTTATAATCCTCGCTTCAGGACAGTTATTTAGGCTCTATTTGTTTCGCGGAAAATGAATGATACAGAAAACATTTTCCTAAAAATAATCGCTTGAAATAGTTAGTCAATGAAAAATATTTTCATTGTCAACAACAATTTACGCCTAAACATTTTCGTGGACAATGAAAATATTTTTCATTTGTTCATTTTTGTGAGCGATACAGACGATCGTTTTTTGGATAATATTTTTCTCGAAACAAATGCACCCTTAAAAAAAGTTACATATCCAAAAATATTGTTTTTCGGCAATTACATGTAGAAAACTGATGTTTGTCGTCAATAACTTTCTTGGCGAATTGTCTATTGTTCTTTTCATCGATGACTTTTTCACCAAATTCTACTATTATCGACTAAATTTGTCACTTGTTAATTGGCCTAATTCCAAAAAAAACCCTAAACTTTACACTTTGTCCCAATTATACCCTGAACTTTTTTTTGTCTCAAGAAAAACCTCAAACTTTTCTTCGAGTCCCAAATCTGCCCTACCGTTATAACTCCGTCCAATTAACGTCAGAAAAAAAAAAAAACCAGAACCAGCAACTGTGGCGGGCCAAGCCTTCGTCGGTGGCCGCCGGGAAGGAGCGGCGGCCCTCGCCTGGGCCTTCCCGAAGGCTGGCAACCCTTGCCAGCCCCGGGCGAGTCGCCGGCGAGGGCCGTGCCACCGATCCAGGGCGAGGGTCGCGCCCTCACCCGTGATCGGGGGGCCGCAGGCCCTCGCCGGCAACTCGCCTGGGCTAGCGAGGTCGCCGCCTTCGGGAAAGCCCGGACGAGGGCCGCCCGACCCTAGGCGAGGCTTTCGGAAGGTGGCGACCCTCGCCGGCCCGGGCGAGTTGCCGGCGAGGGCTACGGCCCCGATCCGGGTGAGGCGCGACCCTCCCCCGAGATCGGGGCTCAGAGCCCCTCATCGGCGACTCGCCCGGGCCGGCGAGGTCGCCGCCGGAAAGCCCGGGCGAGGCCGCCCAGGCCCTGGGCGAGGCCTCGCCCGGGGTGGGCGACCCCGGCGAGGCCTTGCACGGGGTCGGCGGCCCTCGCCCGGGCCTTCCCGGGCGGCGACCCTCGCCGGCGACCTCGCCGGCCCCCGGCGAGTCTCCGCGAGGGCCTGCGGCCCCCGATCTCGGGGCAAGGGTCGCGCCTCCCCCGGATCGGGGTGCCGGCCCTCGCCGCAACTCGCCCGGGCCGGGCGAGGGGTCGCCGAGCCTCGGAAAGGCCCGGGCGAGGGCCGCCGCTCCTTCCCGGGGCATATGGCGGCGGCCACGGCGAAGCTTGGCCACGCCGTAGGCTGCTGCTGTTTTTTTTTTTTTTTTTTTTTCTGACGTTAATTGGACGGAGTTATAACGGTAGGGTAGATTTGGGACTCGGAGAAAAGTTTGAGGTTTTTCTTGAGACAAAAAAAGTTCATGGTATAATTGAGACAAAGTGTAAAGTTTGGGGTTTTTTTTGGAATTAAGCCCTTGTTAATTATAACCAAAAGTTTGTCATTTTTGGGTGTTAGCATATTAAAATAATTGAATGATTTATCGATTGTTCAATTATTTTAAATTAGATAATTAAGAGTCATTATATGTTGCGGAAAGTCTCCGTATGGGCCTCTATCTCCGTTTTTAAGTAGTTTATATTAGGTGAGTTGAATATGCCAAGTAGGATGATATAACAATCCATCCAATAAACGCCACGTGGCAAGGTGGGTCCCGCTATAAACCTTTACTCTCTCCCATCTGCCTCTCTCTCTTCTCCGTTACTTCTCTCCCTGAATATTATCTCCCCGCCGTTAACCTCTCCCTCTCACCCACTTTTCACCATCTTCTTCTTCTGGTACACATACCGGAAGCACACCACCGCCATTATGGACCCACAATGCAGAAGCAGAGCTTCATTTTTGTTTCTTCTTTTATTTTTGGGGCCATAATCTCTACATTGTGGCCGCGAGCGACTCGTCGCTCGCGGCCATGGCTCCAGATCTGGCCAAACTTCCCGATCGAGCCGTCCCTTCCGGTGTTGCTCGATGCCAACGACGACCATGGACATGGATGAGCGTCATCCATGGTTGGCGTCCATGGTGGATGGGAAAGATGGATACCCAAGGGGATCAATAGCATGACACTGACGACAGCCATGGATGATCGTCCGTGTGCTCGTGAGCAGTCGTCAATGGTTGGCTGGTGATGCTGCAATCTAGGCGCGAGCGTCGTCCATGGTCTTGAAAGGCAAAAAGAAAAGGAAGAAAACGGTGAAAGAAGAAAGAGAGCAACGAAGGAGAGAGAAGATATGAAAGTAGAGTAACGGGGGACTGCAAAATCTGACTGGTGGCCCCGGTTCGCCATGTGTCATCAGCTGAATGGTGTTCTGCATAGCCTACGTGGAGTATTCAACTCATTTAATATTTTCTCGTTTGTTCATACGTAGACACTCATTGTCAATTGAAATAAATTTTTACGGCAAAATCTCGAATTTTTCTCTAAGATTCAATTACAAACCATTGAAAGTCAAATTTGTGAACTCTTTTTTTGAAAGTGAAGTAAGGCATCTATCTAGCCTTCTTGAGTCAAAATACAAACTGATCGACTGACTCATTACTATATTAATATAGTCTGACCAAATTAGTGATAGATAGCTCAAGAATGAAATTTTCTTTCCATCTCAACCTATTTTCCAACAGAATTAGATGGTAAGTTGGTGTATCAAGTGAAAGCAATTTTCAATAAAGACAAAGGACCCAAGCCTTAAAAACTCATTTGTCCTTACTTCTCCACACTAATAAATTGACCAATTTGTTTGATGGTCGATTGTTTATCCTAGTAAAAATAGCAAAATCTAGGGTTTTGAAGCCTCTTGGAAAAGGTTGATCATCGACCATTAAAGATGTGGTTTCTATAAACGGGAATGATAACACCCTTGTCTAACCCCAATAATTGTCGAACTTCTTGGACAATCTTTGCTGGGTTCAATTGCAGATTTGGTTGGCCATCTTGTCCCCTAGGTGGTGATGTTGGGCTTGCTGGATTATCTATGTTAATCAGCATGTTAGGCCTAATAGGTATATTCCCCATTGAGTGGCATGGGACACCAATTGGCCTTATATTTTCAAGGTTTCACATCGGTCCATTTTGTCGATCATTTTGGCTTGCCAAATTGTTAATTCCATTTTGAGTAATTTGACTAACATCAATTAATGGAGAGAGGGAGACTAGAAAGGTAAGTAGTTACCACTAGATTAATCGAAATAATAGTGGTTGATTAGACGATCGTGACCTCGATAGAGCATCATCCTCGGCAATGATGACAATTGGCTTGATCACATCTAACATGTTATAATATGTCTCGAGTTTGAGCCCAAAATGAAAATCTGAATTTCGGAAATTAATAATAAAAAAAAGGAAATCTGCTGCACGAGGGAAATATACGGAAATTGTGTTTGTTTTGGAGCGGTCAAAGATTGGGGTACTTTGGACTTTCCTTTTACGAGTTGCAGTCGGTGAAGAAAGTAAATGGAAAAGGAAAGTCAAATTTTGGACTTGAGTCAAACTACACTTTCTTAATCAAAGCTGAGTCGGCCACGTTTTTTCCTGGGCACATATATATATGAAAAATCTCTACTTGTGGGGCTCTCTCTTTGAGCAGACATTCAAGCGCCGATTTTCTAAGTGAGTGCCGTGGTTGCTCTGTTTGTGAGGGACGTCCATGGGTGCTGGGTGCTTGGCATTGGGTCTTCATGCTGTTCATCGGATGCTACTACTTCATCC